CTATAAAGTGAACAAAGCATGCAGCAAGAGAATATCCACTGTGTTATCCCAAGTATAACCCCATGGGTGTGTAATAAGCTGAAAATGATTATTATCTTAACAAATGGCAACTAAATTCCTCTTAGACAGGAGGGCTTCCCTGGTGGCGCAGTGGTTGAGAGTCCGCCTGCCGATGCAGGGGACATGGGTTCATGCCCCGGTCTGGGAAGATCCCGCATGCCGCGGAGCAGCTGGGCCCGTGAGCCATGGCCGCTGAGTCTGCACGTCCAGAACCTGTGTTCCTCTTAGACAGTGTACTGTATTTGCAGAGGAGTATACTTTATTAAACCTTTTGGGATGGAAGTATGAGCCTAAAATCTATCAGGGGATAAGAAAAAAGGAAATATCGAAAGTGTTCTATATTAGAACTAAGTAGGAATCTGGGAGGAGGGAGAGCAATGAAGAGGGAACTGTAGAAAGGAACCAGCAGGAAGAGTCAAGCACTGTTAAATATGGCCCGTGGACTCTTAGCTATCTTAAAGCAGGCTTTCTCAACAAAGGCACTGTTGACATTTTAGACTGGATGATTCATTGTCAAGGAGGAGGGCTATCCTGAACATTGTAGGATGTTTAGCAGCATCATTGCTCTCGACACTAGTAGCACTTGTGACAACCAAAAACGTCTCCAGTCATTGCCAAATGTTCCCTGGGAGGGGGGAGGGCAAAATCACCCCCATACAATGGTTGAGAACCACAGTATTAGAGAGCTATCTAATATTGTTTTAAATGATTTGTACTGCTACAACGTAAACTCTTCCCCACTCCCCGTATGCCCCAAACCTTCAGTGGAGTCTATCAGACACACAAAGATTTTACATGAGTTGTTTCTTTTGGGACATTCAAGGAGTGGGTATGTTTACCCTGAACGTGAATGGGGGCTTTGAACAAAATTTCAAAGACTTAAAGGGAAGGAGACTATCGACTGATTGGATCGATAGATACATACATACACAGTGAAAGTAGAAAGACATAGAATAAGGCACATGGAGACTTCTCCTCCAACATCCATTCCTCCTCTCAATGCCTCCCCCACCACATACCTGACACATTGTTTGTCTCCCTCCAGCTCTAAAGGATGCTGGTTGTTCAGGCAGTGTAATACCAGGTCTCCCGTTTTAGTGATTATCTCAGGAGTGGGCCAATCAGAGCACAGCTCAGAACTCTTGCTCAAAAGCTAAGAGAAGTGATGCTCTTTTTCCCTATGAAGATCGTTGTGAGAGCCTGTAGCCCTGGCCTTGCAGGCGTAGGGAATCCAGGCTGAGAAAGGAGCCCATCAATATACAAGAGACGACCGAGAATAATAGAGATACTGAGCGGAGAGCTGATCAAACCAGGCACAACACCTCCCCTGCCTGCCCCTGAACTTCTCACTCATAAAAGCCCCAAAGTCCCCTTTATTGTTTAAGCAAGTTTGAACTGGGTTTTCTGTTACTTGCTACAGAAGGCCGTCTAACTGATTAACATGTGGTAAAATAGATACGATACGCTAGATGCCTCTGAATATATGCATAGACACATGCATATGCATAATTGGATAGCAAACGCGCACTCATGCGCAGACACATGCATAATTTAAAGGTCTAGACAGAAAAACATCAAACATTAACAGTGACTTAGATTGTAGGAGTGCAGGCAACTTTAATTTCCCCTTTATGCTTTTCCAAATTCTCTTTAATAAACATGCATTAGTTTTGCTAGCAGAAAGAAATCATTAAGTATAATGTAGTATTTATGGGTGAAGTGACATGATTGTGGGATTTATGTTAAACTATTTCAGCAAATATAAAAGGTTGGAGGGAGATAGATGAAGCAAAATTAGTAAGATATTGATATTGATACTGAACCCAGATGGCAGAGGCTTTAAGGGTTCATTCTACTAGTCTACTTTTTTGTAATTTTTGAAAATGCACGTAGTAAAATGATGAGAGAAGAAGAAAGAGAAGAAGGGAGGGAGGGAAGAGGGAGAGAGAGGGAGGAAAGGAAGAAAGGTAGTTAGTTAGCTAGCTAGTTAGTTAGCCAGCCTTACTGAGTGCCGCAGTTGTCGCTAATGGGCCTGGCTGTACACATCCATTGCCTGAAGGAGATGCTAATATTTCTTCAACTGTTTGGACAGTATTAACGTTATAGTGTTTTGAATAGCAACCAGTATTTTGTGTCACTTATGCTTTCATCTTCAATTTTCTTCAGAAATAGAAATCCAGCAGTTAATTTTTCCTTAAACATGCATTTTATGCACTTCTTTTAAAAGAAGATTTTTTAATCTTCTTGCTGCTGAATTTATTATAAAATTTTAGAAAGGTGTTAACCAATAAAAATAAGGCAACATGTGTGATGTATACTGTCCAATAAGTAACAATAACACTAAGAATAGCACTCGGACTGTGACCTACTGTTTAGCATCTATTTACCGCACATTTTCCACACACAACTTACCTAACATTTGCTTCATTTCCCATGGTGGAAGCAGACAGACTGGTGGTCTACTGGCCTCTTGCATCTCATGTGCTACAGCCTGGGCCCTGGCACAGCCAGAGGGACACCAAGTGCCCAGCATAGGCAGTAGTAGCAAATACCACCCTAGACCAGGAGGATGTACTAGGTCTTCTGAGCCACTCATGGCCACCACACTTAGTTATCACTGAGTGCCCTGCATGCTGTCCATGAAAGGGAGGTATTCATTGTGTTGCATCTAGAAAGAATAGGAAAAAAAAAAAAAAAACCAGGAGAAGAGAGCTGGATTATTTCCAGTCTTCTTACAAAATTTCTAGCATGTTCAAGCGAGAATTCCAATCACTGCTAGACGGCCTTGGAAGAAGGTTTTCTCTGGATGAAAAAGTTTACCAAATATTCAGCTTCATTTAATGCAATCTATAATAAAACTGCTTCATTTAAACTTTTTAAAAATCAGGGAAATTACTAAACTAGACAGAAAGGCAGGCTAGACAAAAATTGGGATCACCCCAGTCAATCATGGCCATGGATCACCTTGCCTAGAAACCTTCTCATCTGTTTTCTATCCCTATAATTTAGCCTCTTCCAGAATGACATATAGATGGAATCTTCTAATAGGCAACTTTTTGAGTCTAGCTTTTCTAACTTAGCATCACACATTTGAGATTCATCCATGTTGTTACATGTGTCAATAGTTCATTATTTTTATTGATAAGGAAGTATTTCATTATATGGCTGTACCATAATTTGTTTATCCACTCCCCCATTAAAGAACATATGGCTTGTTTTCAGTTTTTGGTCATTACGAATAGCACTGCTATAAATATTCGTGTACAGGTTTTTGTGTGAACATAACTTTTCGTTTCTCTAGGTTAACTATCTAAGAGTAGAATTGCTGGGTCATCTGGTAAATGTATATTTAACTTTATAAGAAATTGCCAAACAGTTTTTCCAGGAGGGCTATGCCAGTTTGCATTCCTACCAACAACATATGTAAGTTCCAATTGCTTGGAATGCTTGTCAGCACTTGGTATTGTCAGGTTTATTTGTTTTCTTGTTTTTCTTTTTTAGCCATCCTAAATAAGTATGTGGTAGTATCTCATTACAGTTTTAATTTGCATTTCCTTCTGACTATTTATATTAAACTTCCTTCCATGTACTTTTTTGCTGTCTTGTTTGGTGAAGCATTAATATTTTTCACCAATGTATATAACTGAGTGTTTGTTTCCTGATTATTGTTGGAGAGCTCTTTATATATTCTAAGTGCAAGTCCTTTATCGCATATGTAATTTTCAGATATTTTCACCCAGTCAGTAGCTCATCTTTTTATTCTCTTAGTGGTGACCTGCTCAAAGCAAAAGATTTTAATTTTGATGTTCATTTTGTCAATTTTTTTCCTTTATCGATCAATGCTCTTAATATTATATCTAGAAAATGTTTGCCTAAGTTGAGGTCATAAAGGTTTTCTTCTAAAAGTTTTATGGTTTTGTCTTACATTTAGGTCTATGATCCATTTTAATTTTTGCAAAAGTTGTGAGGTTTAGGTCAAGGTTCTTATTGTGTAAATGAATGTTCTATTATTCCAATACCATTTGTTGAAAAGACGACACTTTCTTCATTGCATTGCTTTGTACCTTTGTCAAAAATCAGTTGACCATATTTGTGTGGTTCTATTTCTGTACTCACTATTCTTTGTGTTCCATTTATCTTTGTGTTTTTCCTTTTGTCCATACAACACTCCATTGAGGACTACGATTTTATATTAAATCTTCAGATCAGGGGGTCCTCCAACTTTGTTCATTTTCAAAACTGGTTTGGCTATCTGATTCCCTTTCCATAAAAATTTTAGAATCAGCTTCTTTATATTTACATAAATCCTTTTGGTATTTTTCTTGGGATTGCATTAGATCTATATTCAATATGGGAAAAATCGACATCTTAATATTGTCTTCCAACCAATAAGCAAAGTATATTTTTTCATTTATTTAGGTCTTTGTTTATTTTTTCATCAGTGTTTCAGCATACCAAACTTGCATATATTTTGCTAGATTCATTACTAAGGATTTCATTTCTTGGAACTATTGTAACTGGTCTTATTTTTGAATTTCTATTTACAATTGTTCATTGATAGTTGATAGATTACATGATAGTTTTGTGTATTAACCATGTATCTGGCAACATTTGCTAAACTTGCTAATTAAATCCAGAGCTTTCTAGAAGATTCCTTGGATTTTCTAAGTAGATAATCATGGCATTTGTGAATAGAGACAGTTTTTTGTTTTTTCCTTTCTAATATGAATGCTTTTTATTTCTTTTCCTTGCCTTATTGTGGCTAGGACTTCCAGAATGATGTTCCCTTGTTCTTGATCCTAGGGGAAAACCTCTTGGTCTTCCACCATTAAGTATGTTAACTGTGGGTTTTTTGTTGATGCTGTTTATCAGATTAAGGAAATTCTCCTCTATTTCTAGTTTGCTGAATTTTTTTTAATTTTTTTTTTTTGCTGTGTCAGGTCTTATTTGGCGTGAGAACTTAGTTGCCCCGTGGCATGTGGAATCTTAGTTCCCCGACCAGGGATCAAACCAGCATCCCCTGCATTGCAAGATGAATTCTCAACCACTGGACCACCAGGTAAGTCCCCTAGTTTGCTGAAATTTTAAAATATGAATAGGTACTGAATTTTGTCAAATGCTTCTCTGTGTCTCTTAAGATGATGTAGTTTTCCTTCTTTAGTCTGTTAATATCATGGCTACATGAATTAAATTTCAAATATTGAACCAGCCTTCATTCCTGAAATAAACCATACTTGGTTATAATGTGTTTTCCTTTTTATGCATGACTGGATTCAATTTGCTAAAATTTTTAGGACTTCTGTATCTATGTTAATGAGGGATATTGGTCTGTAGTTGTCTTCTCCTGCTATATTTTTGTCTGGTTTTGATATCATAGTAATACTGGCCTCATAAGGTGAGCCTCCGTTTCTATTTTTCTGGAAGACATTGCATATAACTGGTATTGTTTCTTTCTTAAATATTTGATAAAATGAACCAATTCCTCAAAAGACACAAACTACCAAATTTCACTCATCAAAAAGTTTTTAAATTTATTGATATAAAATTGTTCTTAATGTTTTCTTATAATTCTTTTAATTTCTATAATATACTATATAATATAATATAATATAATTTCTATAATATACTAGTGATGTCCTGTCTTGCATTCCTGATTTTGGAAATTTCTGTCTTCTTTGTGTTTTTCTTGGTCCGTCTAGGTAAAAGTTTTTCTTTTTTTTTTCAATCTTTTCAAAGAACAACTTTTGGCTACATTGATTTTATTGTTTTTAAGCTTGGCTTCCTATGGTCATTCCTGTGTCTGCCAAGCATAATGGTCAGCCAGTGATTGGAGAGAGGTAGTACACAACCACCTCAAGCCAGTAAGCCTTCTGTCCTCTGTCAGTGGACCTGTGTGTGGGTAGAAGAAAAGTTTCAAAGATCAAGTCATTTTCAAGTCTTCCCAGTCATCACTTTCCACTGGGCCCTTTTGCATCTCCTCTGTGTGTGTGCACAGCCTCAGGGTTGTTCAGCACTAGGGCTGGCTTGAGTCCTTTCCTGTCTTGCTATGCATTCAGGCAGCCTCCGTCAGAAATATTTTGTCTTGCTCACCACCGTGACCTCAGACTGGAGCCATCACGTTCACTCACCTGCCCCTGAGGTTGTCACTTCCACTGACAACACCAACACCCCTAAATCAAGTGAACTGCTTTCGACTGTGGTAGAGAAGCTGCCAGTCCTAACTTGGCAAAACCTGGCCCTGGCAGAATCTCTGTGTGGATTGAGCTTGGGGGATGGGGTGAGGGAGAAATATGGGCATCCCTAGGCCAGAACACCACAGATTCCCATATTTCTTAACCAATGTTTAGCGGTGTTACAGGCATAAATGCTACTCAGATTCTTTATATCTGTGGTTGGTCTCTGAGTGCCAAATGGGTTTGTTTGTTTGTTTTTTCAACCTGTCCGTGCCCATAATTGCCCTTTAGAAAAAATTTGCTACCCTTCTCACCCCGCCATAGCCAGGAGGAGCCAGTAACTTAGTTTTGAAAAATACAGAAAGAACCTACTGAACCTTAAACTTTTAATTACAGTAAGTCCCCTACATATGAACCTTCAAGTTGTGAACTTTCAAAGGTGTGAACATGCATTCGCATGTCCAATCACATAAGTTAGTTCACGTGTCTGGCGTACATTGTCACGTGCATGCAACCTCTACAAGTGGTTGTGCTTTTGTGTACTGTACTGTACACTGTATAGAGTACGGTAGTACAGTGTCTTTATTTCAAGCCCAGGATGTCCGGAAGCAAGCGTAAAAGCAGCGGTATATAGCCGATTGTGTTAGTTGGGTACCTAGACTAACTTTGTTGGACTTACTTATGAACAAATTAGATTTAGGAACGTGCTCTCAGAACAGATCTTGTGCGTATGTAGGGGACTTACTGTATAGCTCTATACATTCTCCTATTTTTAATGTTTACATTTATTTTATGATTGCAAGTATTTTTTTGAATTCTGTTTTTTAAATTTATTATTTTATGTATTCATTTCAGCGCATTGGCATAACTCACAGAATACCATCATGTTCACATTTCTCTAAAGCAGTGTACTTTTAAAAGTCTGCAAACACATGATCCTTTCAATTTTGTATGTGGGTTTGGAAGCCAGTTTTGTTCTTTCCAGGTTGCTTACAGAGCTATTCATAAGCTTTGTGAAATAAATATTCTTGTCGCTATCTCAGTGGCTTCTTACAGATTCAATCTCTTACAGATTGTGAAGCAATTCTAATGTACAAAACATATTCTTGACAGGCCTTAAGACCCACACACTTATTATGGTAGTGAGTAACTGCAATATTTATAAAGCCACATTACAATATGTCACTGTGACTTATAATGGTTTGGATACTTGGTATCCTATGCTAGATATAGACTTTCATAATATACCTTGCTCTTATAAGTTCTACATGTCAGTTATATATCTAGCTTTATTGATATCTATTCACCTATATATAATTAAAGTGAATTGAAATCATTGACATTGATAATCAATATTTTATGATAAGCCTAGAGATAGCTGGATATATTCTGGATATCACAAAACTGAATGTGATCATTACAGTATAAGTGTTAACACTTCTGCTTTTCAAGGCATACTAATCCTATATTGGATAAAAAATGCTTTAGACCAAAAAGCACGTAGAACTAGGATTCCATGTTTCCTAAACTTTCATGAAATAATATATTTCCAAAACTATTAATTCTCCACTACACACCTATTATTGAACATGCTAAAGTCATTGTGCCTTACTTTCTATTTTCCACTCGGTTACAGCATAAATCAAATTGATTTGGTGTGGCCTAGTGGTAACACATGATAATGTACCAGAAGAAGTGTTTTAGGAAAAGCAAAAGAAACATGAAGAGGTGACAGTTTTTCTTTTAAATCCATATGCAGTAATAAAGATATCAATGCTACCTATGGATATTACAGAAGTTTTTTAAAGGTTTTTTATAAAATTCATGTCTTAGTCCTCTAAACATATTCCATTAATGAACAGCTGTTTAAGGTTAATCAAAATAAATCCTTACTGTAATTTAATACATTGGTTCCTCCAAATCAGCATGTTGTAGGCTTCATTTAGGTGTTTTTAAAAGATCAATTACATGGATACTGGAGAAGAGATATGATTTGTGGGCAGTTCCCATGAAACTGAAGAATTGACCGCAAACTCGGTAAGAACCAGCCTATGAAATGTGGATGGCAAATGTGGAGTCTGACCATGAGAGATACTCTTGCTGTGCTAGGCACTGGTGCCAGACACGTGAGGGCCCCAGGCTGAGGCCCAGGCCCACACTAGAGCCAAACACAGGGGCCAACCAAAGGAGGTGGGAGAACTAGGCAAAGAAACTGAGTGCGTTTTAACCTTGAAGATAAAAAATTGTAGGGAGATTCGAGAGCAATCTTTGAATATTTGATGCGTGCCTGTGGCAGGTTCTGTTCTATGACCTTCCTACCATCCATTCTCACCACCCTACCCCCTTCCTCCCTGCTAACCAATCAGATCTGCTTAGGATGCCTCAGAGACCCCTCAGTCTCAGGAAGAGGAAGCCCCACCCATGCCCTGGGATAGAATCATGATGGGTCTAAACCAGCCATAGTAATAATTCCCCATGGCCAGTGACCAGTCTAGGGGTAACCACGTACCCAATTCTGGCTAAGGAGAAAGGTGAATCAGGCTTTCAGGCTTTCCTCATCCTTTAAGAAGGAAAGAGTTGACTGGCCTGCCTTTCACTTCCTTCTTTTTTTCCTACTGGAGAACATAGCGGAAATCACACTAAGAATGGCAGTGTAGAAAGATAGAAAGCACCTGTATCCTTGAGAGCTCCAACAGCTGGACTGTCTACCTGCAGATATTTTGCTTTGTGAGAAAGCCAAGCTCCTATGTGTTTAATCACAGTAGTTAGGTATTCTGTTCATTGTAGCCAAACACACTCCTAGCCGATGTCATGGAAGAAAAAAATATTTCATCCTCACATTCTAGAAGGCAAAACTAAAACCACAGAGTGTGAGTTACAAAATGGAAGATTTGGGATCAGTATCATAAATCATTTTCTGGCAAATAGAATTGCTGGAACACGAGGTTGCCCCTGGAATCAATGATCCCGCATCACAAACACAGTCAAGCAGAAGGTGGCTGACTGCCCAAGAAGGAATATCTGCATGAGTTGGGAGGTTCCAAGGTCCCTTTGAACTCTAATACTTTGGCTTTATAGTTGAAAAAGACACTATTGATATTTGCTAGTCATGTATGAGAAAATTGGCTTTAAAAGAGTGACAAATTGCCAATTATTTTTCTAGATTGCTCAGGATTAAGAACAATGCCTTCCTGATATCAGATCTCTTGATATTTGAGAATATACAGATTCTGTTCCAAGGTTCTTTCATCTTGGCATTTGTGTTGAACCAGTCAAATAACGTCCCATGATTTGTTGCAGTGGGTTGTTTTTAAATTAAAGACCAACTGTTTGAACAAGACTGTTCTGGTTGAATTCCCATTGTGAGGATACTGCCTCTACTCTGAATGAGTCACCTCAGTCCTGACTGCTGAATGCCAAACGGGCTCGTCTTCTGTTATGCCACCTTCTCACCAGCCCCAGATAAACTGTACATTACTGCACTGTGCTCTGAAGAGTCTGTTAACTTCTTCCTTTAATCATGCTCCAGGATGCTCTGTGAGCAACTACTTCCATATATTATAACCCAGGCTCTGCACATGGTCAACAGGGCAGAGGCAACATTTCAATGCCACATTCTGGTTACTTTCTGGAAATTCATTGTGGATTACTTTAATGTTAAGTTTGACTTACAAGATGTGACACAGAAAATCATTCATGAACTTGTAATTTTGAGTGCTTGTCTACACTTGGGTCTCACAATGTTTATTGAGCTACAGCTATGAAAATGGTGGTTCTTTGCAGAAACTCAAAAACAACGAAGATAGAAAGCACGGTAGAATAAG